GCGACGCGGCCAGGCACGTCTGGACTTTGTGGCCTCAGAGGCCAACACTGCAGACGTCTTCACCAAGGTCTTGGCGCTTGGTGATCACCACAGGTTCTGTGTGCAGTTGGGGCTTGTTGAGGTAGGCCCTCGGTTGCTGTAGTCTTGTTGTCTGCTCTGCTTGTTGTGCTTCCTATTTATATCCTAGTGAACTTTTGAACTGGCCTTGTGGCCGCTTGCTTGCGCTCGGAATTTTTGTGGTGTCCTTGAGATCCACCCTGAGCTTGCCTTGTTTCTTGCTTTGACTGGTCTTGTGACCGTTTGTTCACCTTGCTTGCTTTGATGCCCCTCACTTAGCCTATGGGGGTGTGTCAAATGTAATTCTATGCTTGTAGGCTACAGTGAGTAGCACAATAGGGTGTACAGTTGTTAGGGTTGCATATTTGTACTTCCACACTTCCTAGTTTCATCATTCCGTTGCATTCCTATTATGAGAGAAACGCCATGGGCTGAAGACAAAATCACTGACGCGACCTGGGCTAATCGAACCCGATGTAGGGCTACGACGCGCTGCGGCTAAGCGGGCAGGGGGAACGTTGAGAGTTGGCTAGCGGGTTCCGCGTCAGGGTCTTGGGTATTGGTCGCAGGCCTTCTTTTGGCTGCAGTGGGCTATGGCGAGGTCGAGGGTGTGTGAGGCCGTCGGCGAAACAAATCGAAGATCAGATCTGTTACACCAATGATTACTGAGAAATTTATGTCGAATTTCACAATAAGTGGTTGGTATAAACACTACATCAACTCTCTAGAGATAATATTTGCTGCCAAAAAGTTGCAAATAATAAAAAGACAGCTCAATTAACATATGGTGCTGTTACGCGGGCTCAACTCGCAGAACTTCCCATGCGGATGATGTACACCACTACCTATCGATGTTCAGTAAGCCCTGCAAGCAACACCCTTGCCTGGGACATCGAAAAAATATATAAATTCAACATGTGTCATCGTTTGGATTTCCTTCTGTGCACTTCACAACACCAGAAACTATGTTTCCACAACTAAGATTAAACCTGACAGTCTTGGATGTCCAGTGCAAGATGAGGGGGCGAGCTCATCGAAAGCCCGTATAGAGCCAGCCAGCAGAGAGGAATGGGGGCTGGTAGGCTGAGTCAGCGATAGTCAAGACAGCCATGCGAAGTCAACAGCAGCCAGCAGGAAGGACACCATCATCAATGAAGGGTATTCATTATACAGCACTGTGTGCTGCCATCGCAAATTCCATGGTGGGCCAGGCGTTCCGTACAGCCCCATCAGAGAGAGGGATGGCATGCCTGCGTCTGCCATGGTATGGATGTGGGAATAATGGCGACAAATGAGCAGGTGGTTGTGCAGAGTCTCTCAATAAATGAAGTACTTGCAAAAACGGTACTGGAAGCAGGAAGGGAAAATGATAGTGAAGACGATTGAACAAAGGACAACATGAACTCAAAAATCAACATTGAAGGATAACGAGAAATCGAAAGTGAAAAAAAAAGGGAAGTTGCACCGGAACGCGGGCTGGCAGGGAAAGTGGGCTGGGGAAGTGGGAACGGGAAGTTGCATGGAACGGCAACCCACACCAGCGCTTCCATCCATCCGGCACCACATGCCACTTGCCTGTTTCCCAAACCCCTTTTTCAATCCTCACAGCCTCCGGTGCAAAGAATTCGTCTCTCATTCTTCCACCCTCTTTCTCTTTGCCACTCCAACCCCAACTTGCAGGGTCTGTGACATGCCTCATGCTCCACCCACCGTGCCCTCACTGCTTCTCATACTCGCACCACCCCATACTCACACCACTCCATACTAACACCACCCATAATCACATCCCCTGTACTCACACCCCCGCATCCATACCCACACCTCCCTGCTCGCCCCTCCTCTTGTTAGGCCAGCCTGTATGCAGCCATCATGCTCCCAGCTTCCCACTCGTCCCTGCAGACTGCACTCGCCTCCTCCACGGCTGCCACCACTGTCAGTTGGGGGGGCTGTCCTCAGCACACATGGGACGAGCAGAGGAGAAACGCAAGTGCACAGCAATGGTGGGTGAGCAGAGATGGCAGCATGAGTGATCCGGCTGGCCTGTGCTGTCTGCTTCGTCAGGAGTGCGTCCCAATGCACTCCCCCCCTTGTGTTTTGCCCATCCTCTCTTGCGCTCATTCCCACCTTGCCTTCCCCCTTGCCTTCCCCCTTGCCTTCCCCCTTGCCTTCCCCCTTGCCTTTCCTCTTGCCTTCCCCCTTGCCTTTCCCCTTGCCTTCCCCCTTGCCTTTCCCCTTGCCTTCCCCCTCTCATTGTGGCACGTGTGCTTCGCAGGCATAGCAGGCAGGCATGGCAGGCAATGGAAAGCATGGGGGAGGCGAGATGGGTGGTGGGGTGATGGGCATGTGGATGGTCAAGCTTGTGCGGCCCATGCATGAGGGAGCAGAGGCAAGGAGGTGGCAATGGTAGAGGAAGAAACTGGCATGGGAGGACGGAAAAGGGCAACACAGATATGTGAAGTTGACAGGTCAACTGGCAATGGGCGATTGATTGGCAATGTGGAAGTCGGAATCTGGCTGGGAAGCGACAACAAGGAATCACGATAAATGGCAATGGGGAAAGGTAACAGGAAAAGTGGTAGTGACTTGAAACTGACAATGGCAAGCTGATTGGACAGAATAAAATGAGAAATTGATTGGAGAAATGACAATGGGACCTTGGCAGGTTGAGTGACAATGAGAATCTGACTAGCCAAGTGAAAATGGTGAGACAAATGGCAATATGAAAAGGCCCAGCAGACGACAGGTAACTGAACAATGTCAATGGGGAGATGATTGTGAAACGGTAATGGACAATGGTAAGAAGGACAATGGTATGAAAACACTTGACAAATGGTTATGGAAGTTGAGCAGACAAATGGAAGCGCAAACAATAGAAATTTTACATTAGGCAGTTAACGACAAGAAAGACGTCAACGGAATGTAGGCTGGAACCATAGGAATGAGAGTTTGATTTGATTGGAAATATTAAAATGGATTAGGAAAAGGAATGGATGCATGAGAATGGGATGAGGAGAATGAAAGAGTGAGGTGACAGTGGAAAAATGGCAATGCTGTATGGGGGAATGAAATGGGATGAGCAAACAGGCATATCATGCAGATTGGTGCAGATAGGCATGTGCAGGCAGCTGGCGTGATTTGACATGCCAGTATCCTTGGCTGAGGAAACGATTGCGATGGGGAGACTGGTGGGGTGAGAAGAGAGGAGAGAGGAATGGCGTCTCCCTGGGACAGCTCACATGCAAGGGAAGAAGAGGGTGGACCAGAATGAACGAAGAGGGAAAGACAGTGGAGATCCTGATTGAGGGTAACCTGACTGACTGAGGGTAACCTGACTGACTGAGGGTAACCTGACTGACTGAGGGTAACCTGACTGAGGGTATCCTGACTGACTGAGGGTAACCTGACTGACTGAGGGTAACCTGACTGACTGAGGGTAACCTGACTGAGGGTATCCTGGCTGACTGAGGGTAACCTGACTGACTGAGGGTAACCTGACTGAGGGTATCCTGACTGACTGAGGGTCACCTGACTGACTGAGGGTAACCTGACTGACTGAGGGTAACCTGACTGACTGAGGGTAATTTGACTGACTGAAGGTAACCTGACTGACTGAGGGTGACCTGACTGAGGGTATCCTGACTGACTGAGGGTAACCTGACTGACTGAGGGTAACCTGACTGATTGAGGGTAACCTGACTGAGGGTAACCTGACTGAGGGTAACCTGACTGACTGAGGGTAATTTGACTGACTGAGGGTAATTTGACTGACTTAGGGTAACCTGACTGACTGAGGGGAATCTGACTGAGGGGAAACTGACTAACTGAGGGTAACCTGACTGACTGAGGGTAACCTGACTGACTGAGGGTAACCTGACTGACTGAGGGTAACCTGACTGAGGGTAACCTGACTGACTGAGGGTAACCTGACTGAGGGTAACCTGACTGACTGAGGGTAACCTAACTGACTGAGGGTAACCTGACTGAGGGTAACCTGACTGACTGAGGGTAACCTGACTGAGGGTAACCTGACTGACTGAGGGTAACCTAACTGAGGGTAACCTGACTGAGGGTAACCTGAATGAGGATAACCTGACTGAGGGTAACCTGACTGAGGGGAATCTAACTGAGGGGAATCTGACTGAGGGGAAACTGACTGAGGGGAACCTGACTGAGGGGAAACTGACTGAAGGAATCTGACTGGGAATCTGATTGAGGGGAACCTGACTGGGGAATCTGATTTAGGGAACATGACTGAGACGAATCTGACTGAGGAGAACCTGATTGAGGGGATGAAGGAGAATTATCAAAACAAGATTGACAGTGGGAGAAATGAAGTGACATCAGAAAATTGACAGTGAGCGTTAAAGGAAAATGAAAAATGATCATGGCAAAACCAGCAGTAATCGAGCGAAACAGGGATTGACTGAGTGTACCTTGAGGCAGCTCATACAGTAGAAAATTGATGATGTGGTGATGAGAATGGGAGGATATGCTATGCAAAGATGGCTGTCGGAACATGTCATTTGCATGATGAGAGAGGAGGAATGAGAACGGGAGCATGTCAGTTGCATGGTGAGAGAGGAAACGAACAGTGGGAAGAGCGGCAATGGGAATCCGAGAGTGGGAAGAGCGGCAATGAGATACTGACACTGGGAAGATGGTTCACGATAGGCTTTGGGCACTACTGAGAACACGAGATGGGAAAGGGAGAATGACAAGAGGACAATGACAGCAACAGCGAACCAACTTCAAACCGTTCCACTCTCCCCTCCTCCTGCTTCACTCCTCCTATCCCCCAACACCAGCTAGTACAAGGGAATGGAACCACATGTGGCCTATGCAATATAAATACATACAAGATTCTAAGAACACAATGACCAAACTAGGAAATCCTAGCTACAGCTAAGACCGTGAACTATATTGCAGCAGATCCATCGCCATGCTCAGCTTCTCCACCAGCCTCCCCACAGGCCGCCCTCCAGCTCACCACATTCCTCCACCTCTCCTGCCATCTCTCCCACAACACCCTGCAAGCAGGGTGCAAAAAGGGGTAAGTCCCGCCATGCGCCTGCCACCAGCCCCCACCAGCCATGCTCATCCCACCAGCCATGCTCATCCCCCCCGCACCACGCCTCACTCCACATGCCATGGGAATGACTCAGGATCTGCTGCCTCATACAACTGCTAATGCTAACAATGCTGCTGCTTCATCACCGTTCACTGCTTCCCTTGGGTGCTGCGCTGCGTGGCTTAGGAATGCCACTGGCTGCTGCTGTGCGTGGCTTGGGAATGCGAGTGGAGGCCACTGCTGCTGCTGGAGCAGCCGGTTTACGAGTGCTGTGAGGCGCAGCCTGCACTGCCTTAGCCGCTGCAGCCGTGTGCGCTGCCCTGCTCTGCCCAGGCTTAGGGATTAGAGTCGCACCACCGCCACCATGCCCTGAACCCGACCCCACACCTGCTGCTCGCCCTCCTGCTGCCTCCACCCCTCCCAACGAAGCCTTCCCTGCTGCTGCACGCACCGCTGTGTGTGCTGCCCTCCCATTGCCCTGCTCCCTCGCCTTCTCTCCTGCTGCTTTTGTTGGCACCGACCCCACTGGGCTGCTCTTAACAGCAACACTCTTAGCAGCAGCAGGCGTCACACGAGTGGCCTTGGCTGGCGCTCCTTTGGCTGCTGCAGCTGCAGGCTTGGCAGCAACGCTTCTAGCAGCAGCAGCCTTGTCTGGTGCAGCTGCAGATGCACGCGTTCCCTTGGGTGCTGAAATTGCGGCCTTAACAGGAACGCTCTTCACGGAAGCTGTGTTAACAGCAGCGCTGCTGGCAGCAGCACTCTTCACAACGGCGCTGGTGACAGCAGCGATCGGCGCAGTAGCGGTGGTGGCAGCAGCGCGTGCACCCATGACGTGCGTGGGCGTGGGCGTGTTGCTGCGCGGCTGACTCACGGGCTTGGTGGGTCGCAGCGGGGAGAAGCCCAGCGACGCACGGGGGGAGCGCGCAGTGCTCTGTTCGTCCTCGTTCAACCGCCCCACGCGCACCGCAACGGCGTGCAGCCGCTGCTGCCGCCTCTTGCACATCAAAGCACTGTTGGCGCTCTTTAAGCTGCTGCTGCCGGCGCTGCGGCTGCTGATGCTACTGCTGCCGCTGATGACGCTGCTGCGGCTGGTGCTGCTGCTGGCCACGCTAGAGCTGCTGCAGCCGTTTCTTGACGTGCTGCTGGCAGTGCTGCTGTCAGTGCTGCTGGCAGGTGCAGCGCCAAGAGTGAGGGTCACAACAGGCTCACAAAAGGGAACCCCAGGGACGTAAAGCCAAGTCTGCTCCTCGACGCTGTAGTCTTCCCAGAACGCGTGCTCAATGGACGAGTCTTCACCCATCGAGAATCCCAATGGGCCAGACAGCCAGGTGCAGTCCTCCTCGGAGAAATCCTTCCAGAACTCGTGATCTAGGCCCAAGGAAGTCAGCGGCGCGTACAGCCACGTGCCATCCGCCTCGCTGAAGTCCTTCCAGAATTCGTAGTCGATTGAGGGGCTCGTGAACTGGAAAGCTGAGGCATTCCGCGCGGCCATGGTACGAACAAGAGTCTAAGCAACTAGGAAATTTCAAGAATCGAGAACTGAGAGTTGAATAGCTGTCAGAAACAAGTACGAACTCGAACGGGTGAGCAAGTAAAAGCTCGAACGGGTGTGGTGGAATGAATGAGAATGACGAGTGGCTTTGTAGTGTTGGGAATGCACGACAGCTCCAAGGCGGAAAGGTGGATGGAGCTCGGGTGGAGAGAAGGACCGGTGGTGGGTAGACGGTGGGAGGCAAGTCTGCTGCCCATAGCGAAAGTAGTTCATCCCGGGAAAGGCGTGCTCTGTGCTGTGATTGGAGTAGAAATAACGGAGGGGTTGAGCAGCCAATGGGAAGCTGTGCGAAAGAAATGCTCCAAGCATAGCCTCGAGGTTCGGCACAGCCGGACGAGATTGTCGCGGCCCGTTCATCTAGGACCAAGTCGATTTTGGGCAGCAAAATTTCAGCGTTTCGGCTGCCCAAAATCCGAATCGCACTTCCGTCAAGCTCGCCGCTGCTTGAAAATGAATCAGTCATACGTCTGCGGAAGCACGGTACTGCTTTTCGTTGACTGAATGTAGGGCTCCTTTGGGTGTGGTCTCTGATCCAAGGGATGCTCGAGGCTGCTATGCCTTCGAATTCGTTCCGTCAGCGTCAACGAACTGCGAAAGCAAACGACCGAGGAAACTACGGAAGCGACTGAATCGGAGGCCAGCGGATCGCACTGCGGTGTGGCGCCTAATGAAAATACGATCGGACGATTCTTGGCAGCCGAGGAGATCTCGGAGCCCCTGCAAACGTGTCTCGAGGAACTAGGGTTCCTTCCAAGTCGGCAGATTCCAGATTGGTATGAGAACGAGAAAAAAAAATGCATTTATGTGCAGATTCGTTATCAGGCATTACATTTGTTACAAGTTGATTCATTGCGCCAATAATTTTGCAAGATCCCCATTTGTGAATGTAGAACAGAAAATGACACTGTTTGGAATAACTTACCGTATATTGTTGGGTGTTGTAAGGAAAATTTCTTTTCCTTACTTCGCGTCCCCGCTCAGCGCGTACACTACTGTAGCACCACAGTCAGCACCGTTACCACTCGCAACCATCGCATCGACAATCCCCCCGCCACCTTCGCACGTCGCACCCCGACCTCACGGCTCGGCGGGTAACCCGCGCTCCGGGCCTCCGCTTCGACATTTTCCCAAACCTCAGTCCCAGGCCCGTCGCGCGACAACCACAGTCCATTACCGTTACCACTGTAGTTTCGCTATATATTCTTCGCTCACGCCTTCGCTCATTGTACTCTTGCTTCGATAGTGCAATTCTCGCTCGCTCACTCAATTGCACTCGTAACACTTGGTATTCAGAGCCTACGATCTCTTCTCAGACCGCACCCACACCTTCGCTTCCTCACTATCTCAATTTTTGGGGGGGGGTAGACGTCTCTCAGCGACACAGCACCGCCGCTCGTAGTGCTCTCTCGTAAGCACGCACGGCCACGACAGAGGCTCTCGCTCAGCTTGCCCGACACCCCCGCCATGGCCGAATTCACGCTCGCAACATTGACGCAGGAGCAGCTCGACCGTCTGGTGCGCCAACTTGAAGATTCGGCGCACGAAATTGCGACGCTCACGGCGGAACGTGACTCCGCGCGTCAGCAATCAACGGTGAACACTCCAGCGCCACCATACGCACCGACAAATGCATCTGCACAATTGGACGAGCCGATCGTTATTTCGTCCGGCACACCAACACAACACGACAGCGTGGGACAGCGCTCAGGCGCAGCCAGTGATGGCGCCGCCCAGCCGATGCCTGGCATGGGAGGAAACAGGGTCGCACCAAGCCCGCGGGAGCCTCGCGAAGCCCGTCGGCATGTGGAATTCGCGGCGACAAGTGGCGAACAGGCCATTATGGCACCAATGCCACTCAAGCCGCAACGGCCACCCTGCTTCGACCCGAGCCAGCGTGGAGGTCCGACGGTTCAATCGTGGGTCTTCACGATGAACGTCTTCTTCGACGCTAATTACGTCGAATCGGACGCAGCGAAGATTCGGTATGCCGTTTCGCTGCTGAGGGGCCCCGCCATGGACTGGTGGCGAGTCATCGTGACGTCGCCACGCGCCTACGAGCCACCGTCGCAAGAGGAAGGGCCCACGGGTCCAGCTGTCACCTGGAGTTCATTCTGCGAGACCGCCCAGTACAGCACGTGGGATGCGTGGTGCGCAGGGCTTCGGGCGCGCTTTGAGCCAATCGCGGCTTCTATTTCGGCGCGTCAGAGACTGCGTACTTGGCGGCAACTCGGGTCGGTTCAAGACTACACGAGTGGTTTTCTCGCATTATGCGAGCAAGTCGGCTACATGCACGAAGCAGAGCGGGTGGACCGTTACGTCGGAGGGCTGAAGCCGGACATCTCGCACGAGATTATGCTACGCGGGCTCTCGAACTTCAACGAGATTCTCGCGCTCGCCGAGAAAATCGACATTTTACGCCGTCCGAGACCGGGGTCCTACTACGGACATCGTCCTCGGGGACCGATCGAGCACGCCACCGTACATGCCGCTGCGACGAATGCAGCTGCCGCGCCGTTTAAGGGGCGCTGCTTTGCTTGCAATAGGCCGGGCCATCGCAAGAGTGAATGCCCAGAGGAGCTAAGGCGCCGCGGAGCAGAGCAGGGGAGGGAGTCTCCAAGGCAGGGAAACGCCAGCAGTCAGTAGGAATCGGGCCAACTATTGACGAGACTGCCTGCTCGCCCAACCCCACCGACCCTCACCGAGTCACAGTACCGATTCATGCTATCGATCGGACTCGGACGAATAAGGAGGGTACAGCGACGGATTGCCCAATACTGATCCACGGGAAAATATAGGGAGCAGCAGTGGAGATTTTTATCGACGGAGGAGCAAGTCACTGTTTAGTTAATACCGCAACCGCACGAAAACTGCAACTGACACTTAGCTGTTGTTTACGTGAGATAGACGCACGCTTAGTCGACGGCACGCCACTAGCCATACGGGAAAAGGTGGAGAGAGTCAAAGTCCGTTGCGGGGGGAATTTCGGGTTTACACAGGAAATGCTCGCAACGACACTAGATGGGCACGACATTTTACTGGGACGTGATTGGCTGCGACGGTATAACCCACGAATTGACTGGATGACGGGTAGCTGCACGGTGCGAAGTAGTGGTAACAGGGTCGAGCTACCTCGCTGGCAGTCGCCCGAGTCTTCAACGGTACACGTCAATGCCGTCACCATGAAACGGGTTGTCGCTGCTAGAGCTGACGTGTACGCAGTAGACATTGCAGTAGTAGAGGGAGCAGAGCACCCGAGTGATTTCAAGAAACTGCTGGCAGCGGTACCGCCCGAACTACAGGAACTGTTGAAACGATACCCCGGGATTTTTTCCCGACGACTTACCGGAAGGGCTGCCACCTCAGCGAGCACATGACCACCGAATAGAATTAGAACCGGGGGCACAACCAACTGTACAGCGCCAGTTCAGACTGACACAGCCCGAGCTCGACGAAATGAGGAAGCAGTTAGATTACTTGTTAGAGAAGAAATTAATCCGACCGAGCTCGTCACCGTTCGCCGCACCGATACTATTCACGCCAAAAAAAGACGGAGGGTTTCGCATGTGCATCGATTACCGAGCGCTCAACAGGGTAACAGTCAAGTTACGGTACCCCATTCCCCGCGCCGACGAACTGATCGACCAACTGCGAACAGCACGGGTTTTTTCGAAAATAGATTTACAAGGAGGTTACGATCAGATTAGGGTCGAACCATCGGACTGCGCCAAAACAGCTTTCCGGACTAGATACGGGTCATTCGAGTACACCGTGATGCCTTTCGGGCTGACCAACGCACCAGCGACATTTCAGATGACCATGAACGAGGCGTTTAGGCCACTTTTAGATAAATGCGTGATATTTTACCTCGACGACATCCTCGTCTACAGTCGCAACAAGCAGCAGCACTTAGCAGATCTGGAAGCAGTATTTAAGATTTTAGACGAGCATCGGCTACTGACAAAGGGTTCCAAGTGCGAGTTCTTTCAGGACAGGTTAGAGTTTTTGGGGCACGTTATTTCGGAGGCCGGGGTCGAAATTGACCCAAAGAAGTTAGACACTGTGAAAGACTGGCACCCCCCAACGAATATCACGGAACTGCAGAGTTTTTTGGGGTTCGTAAACTACGTACGTCGGTTCGTCCCCGACATGGCACGGTTAACGGCGCCGCTGACGGACTTATTGCGGAAGGGGGTCGCTTTTACGTAGGGGGAGAAAGAGCATGCTGCCTTCTCTGCCCTGAAAAATGTTCTTTGTTCACTGCCCGTCCTGCGCATCGCTGACCCACACCGCCCATTCGAAGTAGTTACCGACGCAAGCGACATCGCCATCGGAGCCGTTCTGCTACAGTATTTCGGCAACGACCTACAGCCCATCGCATACGAGTCACGAAAACTACATCCGCCCGAGAAAAATTACCCGATACACGACCGCGAAATGCTTGCGATCGTGCA